GGCAGGGGCCGGCTGTGCCCCTGCGCTCACCTGGGGGGACAGAGGAGCCAAGAGCCCTGGGGCCACCAGCCAGGGGTGCTCTTGTCCTTAACTTTCCTGCCGCCTTGGCTTCTCGGTACAGTTTGGGTTCCTCGCTTTAGTTGCAGTCTTTTATTATTATTATTATTTCTTTTTAAATGTGTACTGTGTCTGGTTTTATTTCTTCATAAGCTTTAGTTCCAAGCTTTGACAAATTAAAAAAAAAAATGCTATTCACAATTAGCACCTGAGCAATTTATCCAGGAAAAAATGGGACCATGATGTGATTGTTTTGATGCAATGCTAAAATTTAACTTAACAAACCCCAACATTTCTTTTGTGGAAGACTTGGTTTATAATGAATGATTTGATAATTATTGCCACTGGAGTGTTAACTTAAAGGACTTGCCAAACTTAAAATAGTTTCTGGGCATTTTTTATTATGAACTGCTCAGTATGGCTGGGTACATTGGTTGCATAGTAAAAGGGCCTGGTTTGAGTTTTGACTTTTTAAAGTGATGAAAGAGTGCTGTCTGACATATGTGGTCGTCTTAGTCTTATGAGGAGTGTGTGTCAGTATTGCAAGTACCATTAGCCTTCTACTTACTGCCGTGAATGAATTCACGGTCTTTTAGAACACGTTTCGTAAATGAAATATATTAAAACTACTGAAAATATTATGCTTAGCCATTTTGTTCTAAAATAAGTTTCCATTTGTTTTTATTAATGCTGAAATCTATATCCCAGTTTAAGATACTGCGTTTGTTTTTGCATGTGATGCCATCAAATGAATACAAAACACATCAGAATGTATACAGGATGAGAATCAGAAATTTAGAGAAACCATTGGAATGATATTTTTCAGTGTTTAAATCCATCTGTCCATGCACATACTGGAATAAGTAGTGCAACTCCAACTCACAAGAGTTAGGTCATTTTCACCAGGTATTAACGTATGTTTTTTCTTCTTTGCGTGTCAAGTACTTTATCATAGTGAAAACGGTCCTGAAACTTATTGTTTATGTAAGCTTCATCTGCTGACAGTAGTTACTTCTCACAGAACTTCTTTATCATCATCGATTACTGCTAGCCCAGATCTTTCCAAAATATAGAAATACTGCTCACGATAATTAGGAACCTGTTAATTTCCTATTTTCTGTATGTAATTCCAGTGTAAAACATCAAAGAATGCCTGGACTGTATCTTTAAATAAAACTGACTTTTAAATCTAATTTGGATTTATACTTGATGGTTTTAAAAAAAAAATAAGAACAAGGATGTTTTCACATATTGAACTGGCAAGCCATGACTAAATATTGTTTTTAATATGCTTAGGTCTGTGATCACAGTGCTCTGCAAAACTGTTTTGGAAAATAGCTAAACCTTCTCTTAAATTAAGGTCTGGTTTCTTCTTTTTTATGTTGATGTAAATCTAACTAAATTAAGAGGAGGTTATGAGAGGATTCACGTTATTCAAGTTCAGTTTAAAGGCTCCGTTCAAAGGTTTGAAGCAAAAGACAGTTCAGGACAAAATACTCAGACACAAGTACAGAATTAGAAACAAATGAGCACACCTCAGTTTTGTTGAATGAGTATTTTGGAAGGAGTAGGAGGTAGAAATTGTTTCTTCTTTCATTGACGATTTCTGCAATGAAAGATGTCTTGTTTTGTCAGAGGAGTGTAGCGTAGTGAGCCTCGACTGAGATGTCCACATAAAAACAGTGATTAAAAACAAGATTCCTAAAAAGTTTTAATTTCATTATACTTTTTTAGGAGGAGTTATGTCTGCTTCTCTTTAAATGTGCATTTTCACATCGTGGAGAACCAACCAGTCAGTTACATTTCTTTGTGTATGCAGAAATTTTACTCTTGAACAGAAATGTGAACTGAAAGTCTGAACTCCCTTCTTTCTCAGCTTCATCATCCTGTTTTGTTTGTTCGCTTTTGTAATATCAGAGTGATTATTACCCTGCGCTAAACAACCGATGACTACCTGTTTTTCAGGTCATAATTTACTGTTTCTGCTTAGTTTTTTATTGAGTTAGGAGTCAAGAGATTTGCATTTAAATGACCTCAGCTGCTCATATAGAAGTTAGCTTTGTCTATTGGAGATCCTAATATCAACAATGAATTTCCTTTGTATTTCGTGGGGTGGATAGACCAAAATTTAGAAGTTTAATGTGCGGTGATGTCTTTGATTATAACATGGTTTGTTCCTCTTTATGCTTCAATAAACAGGATAATGTTTTATTAGCCTTTATGAGAAGCAGTTTTAATTCTAGGCTGGTGTTGTTGGATATGTTATATGATTCCAGTGCAGTTTTTTTTGTTAGTTTCAGCTTTAAAATGGAGAAGGAGGAGGAAGAGGGAAGACCATCGTAACTACCATCTTTGTTTGCAGTCTCAAGCACAGAACTGTGTTTAGAATTGGCTTTGAGACTAAACTCGGCCTTTCTCCAGGCAGTGCTTCTTCCAGGCACAATGGCAGCACAATGACAGTTGTTATATTTTCATGGGTTTAGTTTTGTTTTAAAAATATAAAAAATGCTCTGCAGTGTTTAAAAGGAGATATCTTACTGTACTTTGAAGTTCAATTTTAAAACTAATCTGGAGGAAGGATAGCCAGAACCTGTTTGCTGAGAGGTTTGACTATTCTGCAACAAATATGTATGTTACGTAGATGCATTATTTCAGTGATTTCAGTAGAAGAGTTGTGCATGGACCTAGTAAACAGCCAGCTGTTTTCACCTCAGGGAGATGGCTACAAGTCTGTCAGGATCAAGGATCCTGTTTAAATGGAGAAAGTGCTCTCAAAATACTAGAGGTTTCCCTTTACAGGCTCTGTGAGTATTTGGAAATATGCATTCAAATCTAATAGCATTTCAGGCTGTTAGAAAGATAGCTTAGTAAATATGATTTGGTTCGCTCCTTAATTCCAACTGTAAGAAATGTACTTCTTTTCAAAAGGAATTTCTGTATGCTACCAAACCTGAGGAGTAATCCCATCAGTAGTTGGTGAAATTTTCCTAGTTTATACTGGCATGCATTTTTAATAGACATGGTTGAAATTTCATGAGACATTGTCACCTCTTCCCAGTCATATTCCAGTACTCATATTCCAGTAGTGCCATTATTTAAAATATATAGATATATATCTGGCATGAGAGTGATGAGGAAATGAGCATTCAGCTCTTATGTTTCTTTGTTATTTTTCACTATTGCTATAGGATTTTTCTTTAATTGAACAAAAATGTGCTCTGCAGAGGACATGGGAACATGTCCTGTTTTCTGAATCAATTCCCGTTTAATATCATATCTAGATTCAGCGTGTGTCCTAAAATCTTATAAATTCTCATCAGACTCAGCTGTAAACACAGAAATAGTATATTTTGGGGCTTATTTTGCTCATTGCCATAATATCTCAAAGGCAAACACTGAGGCAATGAGGATGACTTATGATTAGTCTGTAAATTCTTTCCCTCCAACAGTTGATATATGGTATAAATTCTCATATTTTTTTCCAGACTATTTAGCCCTTTATTCAGAACAGAACTTGCTTAGAGAGGGTCTGCAATTGAGTGTTAAACAGGAGCAAACTGGATTTCTTAGAATAATATCTTTTTTTTTTTCTTTCCGCAGTCACCTGTCTCATTTCTGTACATCTTTCAGCTTCAGCATAAAAAATAAAGCAAAACAAACAGAGAGCACTGTCTTTCCATGGAAATGTACTGACCCTGTTGCAAATCACTGGCAGAACTAAACTCCTGAAGCTGCTTCACAGGCTGCTTATTCCCAGTGTCAGTAAGTGACCGTTACGAGGCCCTGTGAGAGCCAGCAGGATATGCCTCCCAGAGTTAGTGAGGAACAGCAGAGTCCTGGAATGTGGATAAGAAAACCAGGATTCGTGGTTGGGTGCATGGTCGAGTGGTTGCAGACTTCTTACACAAATCACTCTTCATTTTTATTCTCTCAGACTGTCTCAGTTCTTTTTCTAACTTCTACATTTCAAGTCCAATTGCTTTCTTTATATTCATGAAGCAGAATTGCACAGAAACTTTTCAGTGCTTTTTGTCCTGGTGCCTAGGGGCCAAGCGGTCCAAGAAGAGCAGAAGCAACAAAAGTTGTAGTTGGATACAGTTGCTTTAGGATGGTGATTGTTTGTCACTGTTGGTGTCAACTTATATGATCTACATGGAAGCAGTGCATGTTCATTGTAAAATTACCTGGCAAGCTAGTAGACTAATATATTAAGCAGAAATATTCAGGGGCGGGGCGGAGGGTTTACTTGGCCTCGTGTGGGCATTTTTTTTTTGTGTTTAAAAAGCCCATGTCACTGGTGCTATTGCAAAATATCAGGGCCTAAATACCATAGTTACGAAGCACAGTAATTAACTGAGTAAAACCAACTTTTACCGTATTTATTCTCGGAACAGCTGAAACAGAAACAAGTGAAGTGGTGTTAAGATAGCCCAGTGATTAAAATCTAGTCCTGAGGGTTATGTTCTGTATAAGTTACCTGCACTTTTTTTTTTTTTTTTTTTTTAAAAGAATGTTTGCAGAGTAGGAATTTGGTTCCTACAGAGTTAGCCAAACTATTTTTATGTGTTGTTCTGTATTGTTTTACTGGAAACCAGTAGTTCAGATTATTACCATAAATTGATGAAAAGACCACAGAAGGACCTTAGAGAAGAGGGGAAACATGAGAATTAGTAACTAGTCAACTGTAGCTTTTATAAAATATTGATTTCTGTGGTTTTGTATGTTTGTCAGTTTACTGTGTCACTCTTCTGGTAGAATGCCACAAATTTGCAGTTAAATGTCACTGATAGTGTTACAGTGCTCAACTTCATATAGTGCCGGACTCTTCAGTAATCTCAAAAGACCACATTGACAAAGGCTCTTGTTACAGTTTTCTGATACTGCAGCAGGTTTTCTTGTCCCCCGAGTTACCTGCTCTGCTGCTGTATCTCACCAGCCTACAGAGTGTGTCAGTGTAACTGTCGGCCTGTTCTCTCAACCACACCAGGGCCGGTCGTCGCCAGGACCGATGCAATGTAAGCAGCTCAAACGCTGCAGCTTGGGGAGGAGGGGGTGCCAGGACCAGAATAAGCAAAGAAAAAGGGTTCAAGAGGCCTGGTGCTCTCACACTGTTAGTGCTGCTGGAGAAATTGTGAATGGATCCATGCCCTAAATCTCATGATTAAAGCTGGTTGAGATGAATTATCTTCTATATGTGTTCATTGTAGAAGCTGAGGATTAATGTTTTAAAGTTGTTTACTACCCAAAGTGAATTTTGTGAAAAGTCAGTATGTAATTTAATAAAGATCAGTAAATTGCATTCAATCAGTGGTACTTTAGCTTTTATTAAAATTGTTTGAAAGAATTACATCCCAGTCAGTGAGCTACATCAGAGGTTTTATTTCCATCTGAATGGAGCTGTTGAGCTAGTAGAGTATTTTTCTTACCCCAAAAAGCGATGTGATAGAACTGAATTTATAACTGGCTCAATCTAGAATTTGGATTTCAGTGGAGCAGTACTTAAATAATGTTTTGAGGCTTTTTTTTCCTCAGAGATGAGATCTGTGTAGTCAGACTTCCACTCACTTTTAATTTGTACTGATAGCGTTGATATGGATTTAAGTAAAATCACCACAGTCTTCATCAAAAAAAAAAAATCTTAGGGCTGTAACTTTTCACATCAGCTCAGGCTAAAATATAGCATGAAGGTACCTCTATATCTTGAAGTTGTAATTATGATTTTTTTTTTGTTTTTTTCCCCTATGCGAAATATTAGGTTCAAATGATGTTTAGTTCAAGCGATAAAAATGTTTAGAGTTCTGCCGAAATGCTTTTTTAAAACTTGACATTTTTAACACAGATTTTTTTTTAACTTTTATGTTTGTACTGCGTTGTTTAATGAAACAAATTTTCTTCATAAAAATGTGAATTGTGGAAGTTTTTCAGATAGAGGACAGGGGGATAGAAAATTAGTGTGAAGAAAGTTTGTATTTGGTATCTGAATTTGGTATCCAAAGAACTTTGTTATTTTCAATATTGGAAAGGGAGAATTTTTTTTCTTGAAATTTGAGGAGACTGCTTCACACTCTTCCCTCTCCTTTCCTTTTGCCTTTGGCAAAAGCTGAATATTCTTGTGCTGTACATTTTTCCTGGTTTTGAAGTTTTCTTTACAGCTATTATGTCTAAATACATCTTTTAAATAACCCCTTCAAAGCAGTTTGCATACTTAACTGGTGTTTTTAAGACAATCTATTGTGATACCTGAATTCTAAATGTCTTGAGGCAGAGACTCTGTTTGAAGGCATATAACAGTGGGAGGTTCTGGACTGCAAATCATATTTGTAAGTCTGATAATAGGTCTTATTAATCTCACTGGATGTTGGATTTGACTGCAATAAAGATATTTTATTGCTTGGTCTTATATTAACCACAAGACATAAAGTGGTCTTATGCTTTATAAACGGGCCTGATCTTTCAGATTTTACTTTATGTGTAGTGCTGAAATTTATAGGGCGTGTTACATCTGAGCTCTCTGAAAGGGTGCAACAAGGTAAATTCATGTTATTGTCCATCCAGTTAACTTATAAATGAATAACACTGTTTTTCATTCAATTAAATATTTTTGGATGAAGAAAAATCTCCCTCTCATTTTTTTTTCTTTTTCTTTTATTTTTCCCCGGATATAGAAGTATTATGGCAAGTTTATGGTGTCCCTGAATAGCAGTGCAGGTACCCCAAACTGAAGTTGCAATGGTAATTTGCTTAGCAGCTCACTACCCTGAAACCGAACCCCCTCCAAAATCTGAAACACCTCACCTGCCTGGGCATGTATCTTAACTCATACACACAAATTGATATATCCTGCTAATGAAATATTTCAGAAGGGAGTAAACCGTTATTCCAGAACACTCATTGCTTTAAACATGAATTTAAACATGAATTCTCTTCCTTAAATTGCAAGGGATTCAACTCTGGCATTTTCATTAGCTGTGTCTAGGCCTGTATGCCATGAAGAAAAGCGGAATTCCTGAAATAGGGAAGCCCCATCTCCTGGAGAGCTTTGAGTCAGTAACACCATAAAATTGAAGTGAGGCAAGTAGTCATCAAATGAAGGTAGAACAGCTGTAGCAACATAAAACACTTCCTTTGCTGCATTTCAAAGTAATTCCATTAGGAAAAATTACTGTCTAGATTTTACATTTATTCTTTGTTATATATGAATATTATTATGAAAATAGCTTTATGGGATATTTAAGTAGCAACAAGGGGGAAAAAATGAGCTGAAAAAAGACATCCTGTGCAAGTCCACATCCGGAATGATTGCCAGAGCTGAGATAAAAAGTTTTTTGTTTTAGGCTAATAGAGTGCATTGCTCCTGAAAAGGGTTTAATTTAGTTTGCCATCCTTTTATCTTTTACGAATAGATACTTAAGCCAAAAATATTCCCGCGTTGTTCAGATCGAGTAGAAACAAAGCATCAGCTGAGTGCAGATATCTTCCACGCTGTGTTGTTTAAGCTTAAGTGCATTTCTTCATGCTGCCCAACATGCTGCAGCACTTGGCATCTTATCTGTATTGTAGTTGCTTTATCTCTGATGCATCAATGGGGTAAAGAATTTATAAATACAAGAAGTCTTACCAGTGAATTAACATGATAAACTATTTGCTTACTGAAGTTTTCAGTGTTAGGTTGTGTAGTTCTTTGGGAAAACAGATTTGTGGAATCCACTAGGCTTTCAAGTCCATTGTTTTCTTACTAAATAGTCTACTTTAAGTGAGTATAATGAAACATGTACTTTGGCAATTCATCTACATGTGACAAGCCAAAACAGGTGCTGGATATTGGCAGCAAAGCCTCAAGGGTGAAAGATAAATGTCTCAAGGATTATTCGAGCCAGTTATAAGTTGCCCTAAGTAGTTTTCCTATTTGAAGTTTTAGAAAAGTTACACTTTTTGAAAGATCTACCTGCGCTATAGGGAAGGGAGCTAATTTTAAAGCTTTTTATGCCCTTTTTTTTTTCTCCCTTGGTTTTGAAGGATTCTATTAATGTTAGAAACATATGAATGAACAAAAGAATAAATATTTATGGTACAGAGGAGGAAGTACAGTAAAAGAGGAAATGTCATCTTAAAGTAGGGCACCTAACCATGTTTTGTTCATATTTTTTTTTATAACGGAAAATTACTCCCATGACACTATGCGGTTTAAACAAAATCTCTTGAACAGTTCACCTCCTAATAGTTAGGCATATTGTTGAGAGAAGTTGGCTTAAAAATGCGGAGATGTGAAATATTTCTATGATGCTTGTAAACTTCAAATAAATTTATTATTTGGGTTTTGACTTTGTTAGTGTTTTGTAATTCAGGCATGGCAGCGTTGTCCTACAGCAAAAGATGATCAAATGCCTAGTTTATTTTCATCAGAAGAAGCCCCAGGGTACTTAAAAATGATTATAATGATAGGTAGAAGAAAATTCTGCAATTTGTTTGGTGCTTCTGTACATGATGGATAATTATTTGATTAAATTATTTTGTGCCCTCACTCCACCTTCCTCCCCTTGGCAATAACTAACATTCTCCCATTCATTTCCTTCTTCTCAGCAAAGCAGCAGCTGGGGTTATCATTATTCTTTTTTGTTATTGCTATTTACATAGCCAATTATGAGTCTTCATGGTATAAAAAGGGAGATTAGAGATTAATAGAAACTTTTTATACCCTCCATTGCTGAATCATTGCTTGTATGAACACTCAGTCAGGGTCTTTTTTGTGGACAGTGTTGGTCGCATAGTATAGTGCCTTAATAGATGATTAGTGGGCAGCATGTTTGCTCTCTGTGCCAAAATGACATATGCTGTTAGGCATCTGTCATTAAACACCAAAACTGGCTAAATATTAACAATACGGTCTGCACTTACCATAAAAGAGAAGTCCATCAAGCCATGAGAGCATAAAATATAGCATGTAGTAGTCTGGCAAGAAATCTGTTCAAAGTGCTGGTAGCCAGTGAGATTGTGCTGGTAATATCAGAGAGTGATAAAATCATTGACTGAGTCCATATACGTTACATGCTTTGAAATTGAAGATTTTATGTTAATACACCTGTCTTTTCTGACAGCTTGAAGACTATTATTATATTCTTTCCCTTTTCGGTGAAAGAGGTGTACTGTACCTTCATCTTTTTCTCTGATATTTATTGTTTTTTCTTTCTTTTAAAACCTAGGAATATTCTGAGGACAGTAATTCTGAACCAAATGTGGATCTGGAGAATCAATACTACAATTCCAAAGCTTTGAAAGAAGATGATCCTAAAGCAGCACTAAGCAGTTTTCAAAAGGTTTTCAGTCTTCATTTTTCTTTTTTTCTAATCGATTCTCTTCTGCTGCGATTGTATTAAATCTACATTAAAGTATTTACTTGCCTTTTCAATATTTTCTAGACTTTTAAGAGTAATATTTATAGTTTAACTTACTAAAATAACATGTTAAGTGTAACACTGGGCTACTTAGATTCCTGACCGACTGCCTTTTCAGGACTGCACTTAACGGAGAGTAAACAGAAACACAGAGTGGTCCTATTTGATAGCAAAACAGATTTTTTTAAATCTGCAAAACTTACTAAGCTAATTAAACATTTCTAAGGATCTTTTCATGCATCAGCTATAGAAACCAAATCTATAGATTTTTTTTTTAAGTTAAACGGCTGTTTCCCCAGTGTCTTACATAATGGTTTATATTTGGTTCACAGTTGACTCCAAAGCTTTATATGTATGAATACTAAGTGACGCATCTAGAGAGAGTTTCTTTCCTCCATGTCAGCTTTAAATATTTTATGTTTGCAGACTGCCACCAGAAAGCAATATGCTAGCTGCTACTTCTTAAGGGAAAAAAGTAGACTTTTGCATCTTTTGGCTTAAGGATATGTATATATATGACTTTAAAGCTTCTTAACATTTTTGCTTACAAACATTATTTTGTGTATGTTATATTAAAGATTGCAACCTGGAGGTCCTTTTGATATGAGAAGAAATGAAAGTAATACAGAAATGTAACTTTGAAAATAATTTAGGTCTTTTTATTTATTACGGCTTTTTGTGTATTTGTGTTCATGAATTGGCTTTAGAGTTTAGTGTTTGATATTAGATAATAAAAAAGATGGATCTTTATCCATCTATAATCACCCTTCCTCCATCAAGCTAGGTGTGAAAGCTAATAAGGTGGAGGCTCCTAACATTTTCAGCAATACCATGGAAGAATAGAATTGGAGAACAGTGCAGAATAGAATATTTCTATAAAGAAAAAAGCAGGGCAAAAGGCATGTACATGATGTTTATGTTTTAAAAGGGGTATACATTTATTTACAATTTGAAAAATCATTTGTAAATGCTTTTAAAATTTCTTTTATTTCAGGTTTTAGAGCTTGAAGGTGAAAAGGGCGAATGGGGATTCAAAGCTCTGAAACAAATGATTAAAATAAACTTTAAATTGGTAAGTTACAGCTATGACCTACGAGTAAATGGCATAAATACAGTTTTGACCCATAGCTCTTAAATTATTATTTGAACAAATGACTGTGGCAGCAAAATCTGCCAGAACTTTCTTCTCTTTTTGCAACCTTTTGTGGCTACTACAAATATGGCAAGGAGATTATGTCGTGGTTCCAGTGAAAGGCAACATGTAACAAGACAGTGGCTGTAGTCAGTCGAGTTTCTCTAGAAGTCTGAGACTCGGTCCTTGTTGAGGTATCATACCCTAGCTGCTGGTACACTCTACGTGTGAAATCAAAGTTTGTAAATAAACTACCATTGTTAATCAAAAAATGACTTCTAGAGAAAGAAAAATACTCTATAACGCTGTGGATTTAAGAACTGTTTTTAAAGATACTGTTTTATTGGACAGATTATAGCAAATTTTGGAAATAGATTTTTTTTGATCTTCTATAAATTCAGTGTTTTTTTGTTATGCTATCAGTGTTCAGATTACAACTTGTGTTCCAAACTGTTAATGTGTGATTTTTTTTTAATAATTAAAGTAAAAATTCATAAAGTTTTTTTTTCTTTATAGACTAACTTTCCTGAAATGATGAACAGATATAAACAGCTATTGACTTACATACGGAGTGCAGTTACAAGGAATTATTCTGAAAAATCCATTAATTCTATTCTTGATTATATCTCTACTTCTAAGCAGGTTAGATCATCAGTTCTTTCATTTTGATGGTTTTCCTATTCACATTTTTAACTGTGACTTTTGTGTATAGTAGTCTGGGTTTTTTTTGACCTTATTAGAGAACACTTGCTGTGTTATTTTGTTGTCGTATGTTAAAATATATTTCATAATAAATTTTCATAAATTTATAAATTTTTATTATTAAATCAGGCTGAGTATTTTTTGGCAATATCCTAGATGTAAAATATTTTAGCATAATAGCTGCATACAGCACATGTGATCTCAAATGTAATTTGTAATTAAGTAATCCATATTACTTAAATCTGCAATGATGTGTTAATGGTAGATACCATCTGTCTTTGAACTGACTCTGCAAGCTAAATGGGTGTTCATAGGTTCCCAGCTCTTCTTGTTTTCTTTTTTGATGTCCTTAAAGCTTTACAGATAGTTGAATGTTTCCTTAACTTTCCACCTGCAGCTAGCACCAACATTTGGAAGGTCATTGGTCTTTAGCAATGACTCTTTTGTCATTACCACTGCCCCTTTTGACCTACCAGATATAAGGAGGGAAGGTTTAATAGACGAAGGGCACTTAACCTTCAAGTCTAAAGGACTGGCTTGAACCTTACCTCGTGGGCAGAGTTGAGTCTAAAAGCAGTTGGAGCCAGGAGCTGGAAGGACAATTTGGAAATTTTAAGCTGACTGTAGCTGCAGATCTATTATCCCTGCTGCCAAAAAGAGCAATGACTATAAACAGTACCAACGCACTCTCTGTGGAACATTTGTTCAGGGAAATACTCAGCGCTTTGACTTCAACTTCAAATGTTACATTTTCATTTTTTTATTCAAGGAAATGGTTTCATGCACTCAAGATTTTAGCTTTGTTTCATGCAGTGTTAGTATTATAGAAAGATATCTTTTCCTTAGACTGCTTCTTGGTAAATCGTATGCTTTTTGGTATGTAAATTTTTTGTTTTGTTTCTTTTAATTATCAGTAGCGATGTATATTAGTGTTTGCCTTGTGTTACACAACATAAGGATTTTCCTACTTGCTTGTAGATGATGGACAGGAGGCTTTCATTTGTCACCAGCATGCTTTTTTAATGATAATACCTATTTCATAAAGGATGAACAAACATACAGTGATTTGTTATTTTAGAAGCTGTTTTTACAATTTAAAAGAAAGCAGACGTTCAGTAAGATGCAGATTTCTCTTTCTTGTTTTGAAGTTCAAACATGCACTTTTAGTTTGTTCAGATTGACTTTATTAACAGGTACAAATTTGCTGTTTACAATTATAGAATTCTGATTTTTTATGTCAGATGGATTTGCTTCAGGAATTCTATGAAACAACACTTGAAGCTCTGAAAGATGCTAAGAATGATAGATTGTGGTTTAAGACAAACACAAAGGTAAAATATATAACTTACTATTTTCTTTTTGCTTTTGTTTATGACACCTCCAACTAGACCTTAATACTTGTAGTAATAAGATATAATACTTATACTTTAATACTCTTTTTTATTCTTCTTTTTTTATTTTTTTTTCTTTTACAGCTTGGCAAATTATATTTAGAACGAGAAGAATATGGAAAGTTGCAGAAGATTTTGCGTCAGTTGCATCAGTCATGCCAGGTAACTTGATATTCTAAATCATTGTACCTTAGTAAACAACATGGATTTTTCACATCTGTTGTTGACTTTTGAGGCACATTGTCGAGTTTTAACACAGAAGAAATTCCATGCTTAGTTTAACTTACCTCTCTGATAACATGAACAAAAATGATCATAGATTGAATAACTTTCTTTTTAGTCAAGCACAGGAATGAAAAGAACATGTGAATCATTTAAAAGTATAGATATGTATTTGTATACATATAGATATGTATATTCAGTGAAGATTCTAGTGAGCTTTAGTCAAAGCTGAATATAAGTTGTTAACTTCTGCTCGTTTGGAAAGAGAGAGGGGGAAATTAAGCTATGCAGCCTACCCTGCCTTTTTGTGTACCCCTTTCGGTACCTGGCATTGAAAGTCCCTTAACATATCTGGTAAATGGCTTTATTATAGGCAATAAAATAGTTGTATGTATTTTCAATTTATACTGATACTCAGTCATTACATTTGCATACTGAAAGAGGCTTTTATGTAAAGGAGAGTGGAAAACTATAAAAGAGCAAAGTTCTGAAAATTATTATAAGGATAAGTTTTAGTTAGACCAAAATGATGATGTCTTAATTGGCTTCAGAATCTGGTCTATGGTAATTTCCTTGTTTTTTTCTGTATATAGCTATATCAATATTTTAGGAATATCTTTATTTCTGATAGGAAGTTTCTGAAAGTATTTCATAATATACATGTAAAGATGAAATAATTATTCTTTATTGCTTGTTCTATCATAGACTGATGATGGTGAAGATGACCTAAAAAAGGGTACCCAACTATTGGAAATCTATGCTTTGGAAATACAAATGTATACAGCACAGAAAAATAACAAAAAACTTAAAGCACTCTATGAACAGTCATTGCACATCAAGTCAGCCATTCCTCATCCACTGATCATGGGTGTTATCAGAGGCAAGTTAATTTTCAACTTCTCATTTCACTTGTGTTGTATAGATTAGTTTCCTGAAAATCTGATAATAGAGATTTTTTTCAGTTTCAACTATAGAAATATTGCAGAGGATCTTACAGGTTCAGTGTCAGACAAACCCTATGCGAATAGGGACTACAAATGCTGTCACTATGGTTTGTCATTTAGTGTTGACCGCTGTTGGACTCTGGCGCTGCTGTTCTGGTCCCATGCGCAGATGCCCAATGGGACAGTTGGCTAAAGGTGGCACAGGGGAGAAGCAGCAGGAGATGAGTTTCCTACCACGATGGTAGGCAACAAAGGATAAATACACAGACTTGGCAGGGCTGCTAGAGGGAGGGATGGATGTTTCTGTAGTCTACTTTTGTAAATTTGTGCTTGATGCTTCACCTTACTAAAGTTCATCAGGATTAGAGGAGCTTTAAGATGTGTTGAAAATAGTACCTGTATTAGTAAAAGTGAATTATAGTGGAAACATGCTGCACATCTTGAAAAAACCTTTTTCCAGAATACTGTTGCACTTTCCTCCTTCTTTAGGTGTAGGCACTTGCGCAGAAGGTCAGGTGCCCCTGAATACTTAAAAAATAATAGATGAACAGTATTTCTCGGTTTATTTTCTGTGTAGTTTTACTCAAAATACATAGTGAAGATTTCATAAATACAGGAAGCCTATTGTCTTTGAGATTTATTGAGATAAATTCCATTTGAATTTTACGTATTTTAACATAAAGTTAAAATAATTATTGGCTGCAACTATTGGTGTTCTTTTAGATTCGTAGTGTGGGCTGGGTTTTGTTTTGTCTTCTTTGGAATGGGTTTATTCAAATGGCAAAGCTTTATGTGCTGACCCTAGTTTTTTTTCCTAGTAATTTTAGAGAATGAAAGGACTCCTGAAAATATTTCAGCAATGTATTTAGAAATAGCATGGAACTTCTGAGTACAATTATTCTAGTCAGTGACAAGCACACAGCGTTCCTTTTTTTGTTTCATCCTGTGTTTTCTTTTCAGAATGCGGAGGCAAAATGCACTTAAGAGAAGGAGAGTTTGAAAAGGCACATACTGATTTTTTTGAAGCGTTCAAGAATTATGATGAATCAGGGAGCCCCAGAAGAACGACTTGCTTAAAATACTTGGTCTTAGCAAACATGCTCATGAAATCTGGAATAAATCCATTTGACTCTCAGGAGGTACTTTTTTTTTCTATAAATATATAGTTTTTTTTAATTGATAGGAAAGTTACCAAAAAAGGCAAATCTAAACATATACTTTCTGTTCTGTGTAGGCTAAACCGTACAAAAATGATCCAGAGATTCTAGCAATGACGAATTTAGTAAGGTAAGATTTTAAGTTTTTCAGAGAAAAATAAAAAATGTAGTGTACAAACCAGGAATTGGTTATTTTTGAGATGTGGATTTTTGTACACAACTACTATATATATTTATATTTGCTTTAAATATTAAATAAACACTGGTAGACTGTTTCTTAAGAAATTGTTTACTTTGACATGTCTTGTAAACAGTACTTCTTTGCCCTGCCTCCTACCTGATTGACTATCTTCTGCTGTGATGAATTTCTTCTGCAATTGGAAAAATATCATATTTTTCCTTAAAATAAAGTTCTCCAGACTGTAATGTTTGGCTGATTATATATGAGGCGCTGAGATAATTGACATCTCATATCAAAGCCAATAGAATAATTGAATGCCCTGTTATTTCATGATTACTAAAGGAGATACCTAACATAGGAATATGTAATGGAATTTTCAATTTCCCTTATCCTTCAAATATGTGGACATCAAAAGAATGCTTCATTGCCTCTTACAAATATGAAGCCAGAGCCTTTGGGATATTTAGGTTATCAGACAAAATAAAGTGAAGTAAGGCAGCCTTACAAAGCTTACCTTTTCTGTCCACAATAATCCTGCCTTTGCATTAACAAGTAAAAGAATGAATAATGCTTAAGAAACTTCCCATCTTCTCATTATAATGAAAGAAGTAACAAATAATATATGCTTACATTTTGAGATTCACAGCTAAAGTCATGTTGGAACAAACCTTGCTTTGAATTTAATACAATATTCCACCATTGTATGCACTCAAATAATTTCTAAAACTGAGGATGCTTGTCCATTTTTGACATAATGAGGAATACATGATTTGGCAGTTTATTAACAGACTATTGCCAGTAATTCCATTTTAGACATGTTTCTTCTACTTTACTTTCATAGCTTCATGTGAATTTGAGGCAGAAGGAATTCCAGATGGCCTTTCCCAATCTGATTTTATTCATGCTCCTAATTGATATCTTTTATCTTGACATTTGAGTATAATGGCTTCTTTAAAATTAATAATGCTATTAAAACAGATAAGAAAGTTGCAGAAGTTAAATCAATTCCAACGATTACAGTTATGTTTTTAATTCTGCCAGTGCTCTACATGGGGCACTTGAAATCTTGGCGTGTTGTAAGGAGAGACTTCTAGAATAAACAATAAAATATACTTATTTGAATTTCCATTTAATTATGAAGTAAAATATATTGGTTCCCTGTGATATAGTTCGTTGCTGTAATCCATTTATAAACTCTATTAATAAACATTCCATTTTTTTTCTTGCCCCTTTTACAGGCTATTTTTCTTGACCAGTTTAAAAACAATTTGAAAATGTACAGAGACTATGTAGGAGAAATACATGTTTTAAAAAATATTCAGGGTTAATATCAAATTTAAGGCAGGTATTGAACAGAACCTCTTTCAGGTTACAGATCATTGACCATGTAGCTTAGTATAATTAAATTTCTGTGTAAACTTCATTGGTTAGTGTATAGTCTCTGTGGCTGACTGTTCCTATAAGAAAAGATGATAGATTTGATTTGTGAGACCATTATGTTTAAGAAAATTGTCTTGTTTTAGCATCTCTTATCATTCATATCTTAAAATGATTTTGTGGTGCCCAAACCCATCATTTAGATAACCATCTGTTTCTGTAGCCATCATTTAGATAACAATATTAAGTAGTTGAATAATATTATAGATACTAAGAATGAATTATAAATCTAAAAAACAATATTATGCCAAATTTATTTTCAGTCAGTTTAAAAAGTCTACTTTTTCTTAGAATTCAGCTTTCTAAAAGCAGCACTGACAAAAACCCTCTGAATCCCTATTCTCTGTTTGTTATATAAAATATATTTTTGTGCCAAAATTTGAATAATGATACTATCCAAGAATGTCTATTTTTAGGGTTTTTTTTAGTAATAGCTTATTAAAGTGGTTTGAGACCAATGCACACTTGCAAAAGAATTGATCATTCTGAACTTCTGTATGTGCTAACAAAATAGGAAATAGGAGAAAGATGTTTTCTGTGGCATCTCACTGCAAACAGTTTTTCCATATGAAGATTATAGAGAACAAAGTCTTATGATGAGACTATTTTGTTTTTTAAAATAATAATGCAATCCTGTATTTTCTGAAGTGCCTATCAGAATAACGACATCACTGAATTTGAGAAGATTCTGAAAACAAATCACAGCAACATCATGGACGATCCCTTCATAAGGGAACATATTGAAGGTATTTTCACAGGCTGTTATAATCCTTCCTTTTCTCTGCTTGTTATGCTGGATCTTTTAAGATTTATTTTTTCTGTGCTGAGTATTCTTCATAATTATTAGTTACAGACATTTCTTTTACTGTTTTCCAAGTTCTTCCTTGCAAATTAGTCAGAGGAAACACCCATCCTAGGAGATAGAATGACTGCTGTGAATTGCAGGAGTCAGGAAGAAGGTTCTTGCAAGAATGAATGTTCTAAGATACCTCTTGTAATGTCATGCTTTAAGTTGAGTGGATTTTTTTCTGTTTGTTTTTTTATTCCTTTTGTTTGGGTTTTTTGCCTTGGTGAAGGATTGAATGAAAGGAACCCTTCATTAATTGCAAAGGTTGTTCTTACTAGTTTCAACAGTAAAATATTCACTGCTTTCTAAGATGAAATTTCTGCTTCAGATCAAAAACATAATATGTAGACAGTGTAATGAAGGCACCTTAATGAATGTGTAGCAATAAAACTTTTAATGAGATAAACAAGTGTATATGTTAAAAACAAAGTTCAGATTTATAGTACCTCTATGTTGTAAAACAGGGGAACATAATAACACATGTTCATCAATTCTGTTAACAGTTAGACAAAAAGTCCCCCCTGCAGTTTGTTGTTTTTTTAATTTGCAAGTTTAGAATTCTCTTGACTTGCAGACAGTGTCCAGTTTTTCACAGGGCTGCTGACATCTGAAGAGTGGGACTTACTTGGTATTGCTGCTTCAGTTAGCTGGATGGCTGCAAGGGAGAGGAGAGTTAAAACCAGAGACCTGGTTTTCTTAGGCTTCTTGTTTGTAAAAGAGAAGATGAACAGAGGAAACTAAATATAACCCCTCTGTTACTGTTACATGTCAGCTACTGGTGAACCTCGAAGTCTAGTAGGGAAGACTGTAAGATTGAAGAGATGGATGCTTAAGGAGAGAATGACAGCAGAAATGGAAAGCAAGAGGACACATGAACCTTTACCCATTATTTGACATTGATCTGCCAATGGCATCTGGGGGAAAAAAAATAGATATTCTCAGCTTTTTCACTGCCTACTGAGATGGAATGTGTGTTCATGGGTTTAATGTTTACACATCTTGCTTAGTTGTTTTAATACCATTAGTTTTATTGAGATACATAATCCAGTCTTCAGTATTAGTTTTCTTTATGTGAACGTTCCTTGTGTAACCAGTTAAGTAAAAACAGATCTAGCTCTTTCTCAATTTACAATGTTAATTTATACCTTAATTTTATGCTACTTTAATAATGTGAAAGTTACTGAAACAGTTGCATTGTGTTAAGCAAAACCAGCCAACTCATGCAGTCCCTGTTTAAGAACTCTTAGTTCCTCATCAAAATTATATCATTGGTCCCTGAACTTAAGTTAAGATGTGAATATATCACTTGAAGTTAAATCTGTGCAGGCTGAAGTTTCAGAGCCTTTTGTTTAAAGCAAACTTTACAGCCATCAATTAAATGGCTACCTTACAAGATCATGGGAGTTAGAATATAGAAAGATACGAAGATGGAACTGTATTGTGACTTTATTTAAGTACTGGTTTTTTTTTACAATTTTTTTTTCTTCTCTTGCAGAGCTTTTGCGAAACATCAGAACACAAGTGCTTATAAAATTAATTAAGCCTTACACGAGAATACATATTCCCTTTATTTCTAAGGTATTTGCCAGTGGAGCCTTTCTTTTGCTTAAGTAAATGATTAATTGTGAATAAACAGCTCTCAAATAAATAAAGCGCTTCCTGAAATAGAACACCTAACATATAATCAAAACTAATGTAGTGCTGATGGCTTTGCAGTGCAAAATGTCAAGTATCATTTCAAGGCTTTTTAATGATACATTTCTAAACTACTCAATTAATGTATTTTACTGGGTATAGAAAAGTACTTTTCTGAAGAGAAATGTAGAAAATATTCTGCATAATTCCTAACTACACAAATTTTATGGACATAAAATAACAAATTTCCTCAAATATCCTCAAATGTCTGTCTTGTAAGAACTATGGAACTGTAGTAATAGAACAAATAGATTATAAGACAAAACCAGAGTTTTCATTCTCTAACCAGAAGGGAACAAAATCAAAAAACAATAAATGACAATAGGATTTTTTTCATCTCCTGTAAGTCTTTTTATAGTCTCCGATTTTTCTTGCAACGAGTGGCATTTCAAAATATATTGTGAAGTATTAAGAGAATCCCAGTTTTTATGCTTGTAGTGTAAAAACTTGTGTATATAACTCTACATAAAAATAAAGATGGGAAAGCTTTAATGTTGCAAAAATAATACTATATATTTTTTTCTTTTAGGAGTTAAACATAGATGTAGCTGATGTGGAAAGCTTGCTTGTGCAGTGCATATTGGATAAGTATGTACTTTTTTAGTTCTAGTAATTACTTTAAAACAGTCGAAGTATACAAGAAACAACAAACAAATGTGTATGGTCAAAATGCCATTTGATTCTAAAAACAGAAAAATAATGATGCTGAATTTCTTCTTTGGGTTTGCTTGGCTTAAGGGCAGTCTAGTATATTTGTAAACTTTGAGCAAATAAGGCTATATAGAGAGATGGCACATATTTACATTAATTTTATATATTTATGTAATGTATTTTATTTATGTAATATAGGGAGATTTACATATATATATGATTCCTTGTCTTAAAAGAACTGTTAACATCAAATTGCTCCTAATTTTATGTGTGGGTTGTACCTGCTACTACCTCCATGCGGCTATAGATTATTATATATAATACGTGTGTATATGCATAGTCCACTAAATTAGTTAATTTGATTTCCAGTGATGATGACAGTTAAATAGGCAGTACTACATGTGATAGTATATAATAAAAATGGATGGTATATTTTAAAACTTAAATTCTAAATGCAGCTATATTCTTTATAAGAAGACCTCTTGTTTTATCTCTGATTTATCATTAGCTTCTATTTCCATGTGCATTAGATTTATATTCGTTTATTTAATTATTTATAGCACTATACATGGCCGAATTGATCAAGTCAACCAGCTCCTTGAACTGGATCATCAGAAGAGAGGCGGTGCCCGGTATACTGCATTAGATAAATGGACCAACCAACTAAATTCTCTCAACCAGGCTGTAGTCAGCAAGCTGGCCTAACCGAAAACAAGCTTTTACAAAACGTACTTAAGGCAACAGTGCAGTGATGTAAACCTTAAAAGAACTGGGAATGGCAAAACTACTGTCGGTTGGTGTGCCCTGAAATTATTGGAGTTATGGCAGAAGTGCTTTTTTGATCAGCTGGTTTGTGTTTTGCTGCTGCATTTATCCCAAGAAAAAACAGCTTTAATCTCCAGAAGAAAACCAAAATGCCACGGGATTTATGCTCTGTTGACATCTTGCCCTAAACATACAACATCATACTAATTTGTTCAAGGGCAATTAATGACCAGAGAGAAGATTTTTGTCATGATTTTAAATACACTGACACGTTACTGTTGGTTAAATTTAAACATGTTTTACCTGCAGAAATTCTCTCACAGAAATAACCTGCAATAACTTGAAATGCATACCCTTTTGAACACTTCCTTTTCTCATGTATAAATTGAAATGTTTGCTGCATTTTGCAAAATGTCAATTCTCCAAAAATGTGTCCGTATATTTCTGTACCTGCAGTGTAGTAAAGGTTTAGAAGAAACCCCATAATTATAGTGGCATACTGTCACTTTAGGTTTCAAGCAGCAAAATAAACAGTGCAGTTCAGAAATTGTACAGTTTGTTTCTTGATGTGCTTTCATTATACTTGATTTTTACTTTCAAAATTTTAAGAAAATATGTACTATTTCATCCTCACTTATGGAGATTTTAAATCTAAACCTTGGTATGCTTGTCATTTTCTTAAAGTAGTAACCACACATACTTAGATTAAAACCTGACACCTAGCCATCTTGCTACCTGATTGAATCGTGTAAGAAACCAAGCTCTTACCATTTCCATCTAGTTCATGTTGGTAGGTGGCACTTTTCAGGAAAATATTCCTGATTTTGGTAATTTAAGAATACAGGGTTGTCAGGCAGTGCTTTGGGAGTAGAAACATGGAGCCTAATTGTTGTCTTTCTTTGACTAACTAGGCCAGATTGTGGTCTTTTTTGACTCTTGAATTGTGTATGAATAGAAACAGGCTTTGGAAGCAACAGAAGAATTTCTGCACTATGTGTATGGAGTGGGGACTAAGTGCAGTGATGTCAGTAACGGTGCAACCCATCCCCTCCCAAACCTGAGCTTGTACTTGAGTTCCTTCAGAGCCACTGCTCGAGTCATGTAATAGACGCTACCTTCAGTGTCCCAAGATTTTGGGATCATCATTTAAAATGGAGCTGTGTGGTTTTGGCCACAGCAACTGTATTTCCTGTGGCAGCTTGTTTGGACAATTTCTCTGACAGAGAAATGCTCTTGTGGTTCGCAGAGAAGTAAAAGAAAATTTGCATGTTCACTTCTTCCATAAGTGCAAATACTCCAATTTAAAGGTAATGTAAAAAGGTATGATGTAAATAGTGCAAGAAGCTGTGCCATGCACAGTTGTTGCAGTAGAAAGAAAAATAGGTGTGTAGAGCAGTTATTGCCTGAAAAAGGAAAAAGTAAACATAAGCCTCCTGTAGCACACGTCTCACCTATGTATAAAATAGAATGGTAGGCCAAATGTTCGTTCTAGGACAGGATTTAAATAGTTAACAGCATACATTTAAGTGGGATGGCATGAACTTTCATTTGAAAGTTACGTGTTGCAGAAAATAATTTTGCTCGGTAGTTGTCAACGTAAGTGAAATTATTTTTCTTGTATCAATTAAGGATTAAGTTAATGTGTTGCGTAAATAACATGATGCTGAATCTGTGTGAGCATTTCTCCTTGACTGATGCAGTAAAGTGTAAAAACACCAGTAGGTGTTTTTAATTTATCTGGTCACCTAAATTAAGAGTAAAATACGAATACAAGTTGAAATTAATTTTTAAGCACATGCAAAGGTCTTTTTACATTTTTTTCCTTCAAAAATATCTGTAGATAACAATAAAACACATGGTTCTTATTACATTTCTTTACAATGTATGATATAGTTTTTTACTTAGAAAAATTCACTAAAATCTGGTGATGTGAAACTGGACTTAGCAAAATCAAATTCATATGTAATACTGCACAGTAAGTTGTATAGATGCCTAGCAGCCTCCTCTGAAAGCCTTGGGCTTCTTTTCTGCAGATCCAGGGGCACCCATTTGGATAACATCTCTTGCAAGATTCTCCTTCCCACGAGACAGGAGACTGTGACAGCTGGTTTCAGCATGTTTCTCTCCTCTGCCATTTCCTGCCACCCTTGCTGTGGGAAGGAACAACTCATCTCCTCTGAAGCAGGAAAAAAAGAACTGAGCATAAACTTAGTGTTGTTTAAAAAAACAAGTCTTTCTGACTTTGCTTGTTTTAACTGAGGTAGCCTTTCCCATCCCAGGTATGTTTCTTGGGGAGGGACATTGGGATTTCTCAAGAAACAAATCAGAATAAATAAGCAAAGTAAATCTTGCCCTAGTTAGTCCTCTAATCTCTCTTCTTCCATCAGCTTTCTGTCATCTTTACTCTTCCTTTCAGCACTGCATTTGCTAATTGTGACTCCAGCTGAATCTCTCTTAAAATGAGTAGATGCTTTCTCACTGGAGCCAGTGGAGTTAACATTGGGCTTTAAGTGATGTGGCTTTTGTTCTATAGGGGCTGTAACTGCCATTTGACATCTCTTTCCACCATTTGTCTCTGAAGTGGTAAATTGTCCTTTTCACCTTGCCAGGAAAACTCCATAAGTAGATGAAGAAAGACAGTGACTTCTAAGCAGCCTCACCGCATTCCTCAATTCAATTCCAATTTTTCAGGTTTCTGGAAGTGTCAATAACTTTCATAGACAGTTTTCCAACTCTTGGGATGTTTTTATCCACATTTTCTTTTCCTGCTGTTGGTACAAGACAAACTGGTGCATGAGCTGGTACCAGTAATGTTACCTATTTCCAAAAGAATATTTTAATGGCCGCTGTAATCCTTTGTGTGTGTGCGTACATATAAATATATACACATGTGCACACACATCTTTAATTTGAGTTGCTGGCACTTTGTGGATTAAAACTGAACACGAACTTCATTCATGCAAATGAAGTCCGAAAGGATGTGTGTCTGCATGTTAGTGGGGGGTTTTTAATTAGCAAATATACTTCGGAGATATTCGTTCTTTTCTCATCTTAATATGCTGTACAATGGATTGAGTATGACACAATGACGTAATGAGGATTTAATTCTCCCTTCATTTTAAATAGTTTTAGAAATCAATTCAACAAAACAAAAACTGCAAGGCTGTTAGAATGCATCTCATAGAATAATATTACTAAAGTATTTGGATTGTAGTCTGGTAATAAAACACTGATTCCTGTAATTACTTGGAACTTGTCAGCTGAAAAAAAATCATTTGAAAATTGTATTTGCAGATTTACTTTTGAGGGAAAGTGAACTAACTTACGGGAGTGTGAGCTGTTATGTGTGGCTTAACAGTAAAATGGCATTGGTCTGGACAGAACCCTTCTTCCTCAGAGCTACTGCAAGTGTTTGAAGTGTATTTCCATGTGCACTTGTTAACAGTGACTTGAAAGTTTAACTGCTACTCTATTATTTTCAAAGTACTTAAAAAAAAAAAAAAGGGGGGGCAGGAAACCCAGACATTGCCTAAATTAAAGAACTAGACAAAATATCGCATTACAGCTAAATATTAGCAGTTAAGCATTAAGATGTTGACAGATAGGATTATCACCTTCTTAAATGCATCTAAATTAGTGGAAAGGTGGATTGCAAAATGCATCGACATGACAATAATTGCATATTTAGTGTGAAATTTTAATTTCTTAATAACTTCTATAGCAAGAGTAAAGGCTAATCCCATCCTGGCAAGCTTGCCAAGAGTTACAGGCAGGATCTGTCCTAAAGCCAAGTTGCAGCTGCTGGCAGAGGGAGTGTAGTGCTTGCTCTGGCTGCTGCCTAGTGCTAATTGCAAGTTGCCATCAGAATTGTGATCCTCAGATTTGTGACCAGTTACACCTAGTGCCACCTTCCCACTTGAATTGCATGAAGCTCCCTGTTGCGTTTGCCTCTAGATGCCTGTGCAGGGTGTTACACGTTATCACCCCACATCAGATAGCATGTCTTGGCAAAGAAACTTCTCTTTGCTTTCCTTGCTTGTTTCTCTCTCTCCTAACACAGTATTTATACCGAGAATTTTAATCCCAATCTGGTA